TGCAGCAGTAATAATTAAAGCCATGTCAAAAAGGGAACAAGAAGAGCAGTGACGGTAACTGTCATGTTCTGCTGAAACTCAGTATGCCTTTTTTAATTAGTCTTAACTGAAGTACATACTGTACATTTCAAATCATTTTTGCATGCTTGGTACTTTTGATACCCATCAAAGTGATGTAGAGGAGAGCAGAGAGGTGCCATCTGTTTGTCTCTTTTTGGTTTAGGAACAAATCCTTGTCACGACTCATGTTGACGCTCAACACAGCCTTCCTAAAAGAGTGAGTCATTCTCACGCCTGCTTGCTTTCTCCTTTGCTGCCTGTTCAGTCCGTCTGAGGCACAGAATGAGAGAAATGAGGCAGAACAATGGCTGATCATTGCCAATTTTTGTTGTTGGCATGGGTGAAGGGAAGGGTACAGGATGTAGACTCAAATCTTGTGTGTGAATGGCTCTTGCATAAAAAGCTATTAATGGCATAGGCATATAGTGGTGGTGGTTCATTAATTTGAAAGTTATCAAGACTGTATAAGCTACTGTTGATACCTGCCAAGTTTATCCAGCCACACAGCCTGTCATGAAAATAGAAGAAAAAGCTGTCAATTATAATTGGAGTGATTGTTTGTTGTAGGAATGTGTCTTCATGTCTTATGTTTTTTCATGCTTATATGAAGTAGCAGCTGGTCTGGATCAGGGTTTTCCTACCTTCTCTGAGATGTTTTTATGGACTGCACCTTGAGGCCGCCCTCGTTTTGACTCAATGGTGTTGTGAGCTGTGATGGGGTTATGAGGCAGGGGGGTCGGGCTCTGGTTTTGGCTTATGAAAGCTGCTCTGTTGAAGGTGAAGTGGGTGACTCGCTGAGGGACCCTCAATGTACACGGAGGGTTAGTCCCTGGGCCTGACAGACAGACAGCATACTTACTTTGGATAAGTACTGCCTGTAAAAGGCTACTCAAATGTGCTAAAGGGCCTGCAGCCAGGCTGTCAGCTCCAGTTACACTCGATACTGATTGTTACTATCATCATGAGAAATGCAGCATCAACAAACCACTGACAGAGCACCAGACTGAAACCACTTGCTCTCTGCATACCTACAGATCAAATGAGAAGCATGGCGTTGTGCATAGTGGAGGTGGAGGGAGGTGTCAATGCGAGGATTGTGGAATGCACGTTAAGACTACCAGTGCACTACAAAAGTGCACCCTTCACTCCCCAGAATCTCCAGACTGCAAACACTGTAATGTCACATTCAAAGGTAAGTATAGAAAATAAAAAATATTTTGTTTGCGATGACTGTGCTCACTGTTCATCCAGTGTGAGCTATGCTTCTCAGTAAACACCTGAGATCCAAGCCACATGGGGAAAAAACCTGTTAGTGCCCAGAGGACATATGCTACGATGTGCTTGATAAATAAAGTTTATTCCACTAAGATAGCACAGGTACTAATAAGTTTAGATTGGACCTACTAATAAGAAGTATTTTCATGGGCCATTGCTCCTTTGAAAAACATGAGTAAAACATGGTCATTGAATGTTTAAGTCCAACCAAAAATATAAGCCACGTGTATAAATGTCTTTTTCAGTACTGATTTTCCACATTAGCGTCAACACATACAGTATCCATTTTATAGCACCGTAGTTTTCTGGCTAATATCTTCCTTGTGTTGCACATTGATTTGTGGAATAACCAACCAAACAACAGCAACTGGCCCCAAAGATCGTCTTTTGTGCCACTTCTAGGGAAAAATATTCTCCTCAGCTTGTAAGCTTGCACAGTTACCAGTGCAATTAATTTACATCAAGGATATATTATAATGACTGGATACTCAAAGATGATGCCCACTTGAATGAAAAATGCCTGGCACATAAGGGAAAAAAGGTTTTTATTAGTGTTTCTCCTGCTGGCCCCACCCAAGCATGTCTGCTCAGCCCATAGACCTAACCTTGTAATGTTGCTCCAAAAATAAAATCCACTTTTTTAGGTTCCTAGAACATTTTACAAATATAAAGCTAATATTGTAAATTAAATGCTTTCAAAAAGAGTTGATTATTCATCCATCCCTTTTCTATGCCACTCATCCTGAACAGGGTCATAGGGTGCTGGAGCCAATCCAAGCTGACACTGGGCGATAGGGAGGGTACATCCTGGACATGGACCAGTCTATCACAGGGCTGACACCTGGAGACAAACAAACGCATTCACTCCTATGGGCAATTTAGAGTCGCCAGTCAACCTAAGCTGCGTGTCTTTGAACTGTGGGGGGGAAGCCAGATTACCCGGGGAGAACCCACGCAGGCACAGGGAGAACATGCAGACTCCACACAGAAAGGCCCTGGGTCGGCCCAGGCTCAAACCTGGAACCTTCTTGCTCTGGGGCCACAGCGCTAAGCACAGCACCACCAAGATTTGATTAATAATTATTTAAAAACTCATTATAGAAAAGCCTTATTAGCATTTATACTCAGTAGATGTATTACAAATCATTTAGACAGTGTTTTTATGATTGTAGCCATAGGACTTTGGAGCTCAGTATAAGCAGTTTAACAGAGGAGTTTAAATGTACTAAAGCTAGACTGGAGATACTGCTGTCAGGATCCAAGGATGTAGAGGTGCAGAGTCCAGCACCAACAGTCTCAGCAGGGAGGAAGTGGAACCCGAAGGAGGCAGTGTTGCAGGCTCAGGCAGCTGTTAAAGATATGTATATTGTAGGGCAGGTACAGCATGGATGTGGTGGTTTTGGTTTCAGCACATCACAACCTTCTTCGAGCTAAGCAGCAGTTCACAGAAGGAAGATGATTATTGACGAGATGAAGAGGCAGGTAGATGTACAAAGGCAGTCTCCCAGGCTCAACAAGGACAGTGGATGAGATGGGAAGATGTAGAAAGGAAGAAATTTAGTTGGAGGGAAATGTGGGACATGGAGATAGGAAGGATTATATTCATTCTAGGCTATTCGGTCTTCCCAAAAACTGAATAAATGGATCATGTCCCTTTTGTTCAGGTGTAGCGTCACTTTGGCTCATCCTCTCAGGGTGTAAAATAAGCCTGGCTCAAGGACGATACACATGGAGACATAATCAAGTGTTGAAATGTTTAGCAGCAGCTACTGAAAGGCAATTAGAGGTAAACTCAGTGTAGGAGAAGAAGAAACAAAAGGGGGTTTTGTTTGTTTGTGAGGGTGAAAAAGGCAGGAAGCTAGTCATTTTGAACAGGCAGGATGCAGGCCAGCTAAAGGCAGGGAGACATTGACAAATGGACAGATGAGATTTGGTGAATCAGTTCATAGTTCCTGAGGAGATAGTCAGCACTAACCTCAGACCAGACCTTGTGTTGTGGTCAGAAACACAGCGGACTGTGTAGTTTGTCAAGCTCATAGTTCCCCGGGAGGACGCTGTAGGTACAGCTTATGAGAGGAAGAAACTGAAATACACAGAATTAGCCATGAAGGCAGAGGAGTGTGGCTGGAAGGTTAAAGCTTGCCCTGTGGAGGTTGGTTGTAGGGGATTTGTAGCCAGGTTAGCTGTCTCTCTGCTAGGAGAGTTAGGTATATCGGCATCTCTCACATATCTGACTTGAAATATCCTCTTTCAGATGCTGTCTCACACTGACCAAACAAATGTAGACTGTAGCTCCTTTTCTTTGACTGTGGCCCTTAGACAGCAACAGGTTCAGTATGTGTCTCCACATTGAGAGATGAGCTTTGACGTTTACACATATGGCACAGCACATTAATGATTTACAACTGTACAATATTTAAAAGTAAGGCTTGTGCTGTGACTGTGATTTTACTGTGTGCCTTATTAACATTAACATGAACGCTTTTCTGCACAGTAAACAGGCCAACTGCTGCACACAGACTCACAGTCTCACCGTGAAACAAAGCAGCTGTGTCCAGGATGAGCCCAGATATCCAAATGTCCAAATATCGTTTCATCTGGAGAGTCACAATGATTTGTTCCGGGCCGAGTGGTATATTACAGGGAGTTTTCAGTTTTTGCTGATTAAATGCAATAATATCTGTAGCCTTACTACAAGCATGGAATTTATCTAATTCATGGACTGTATACTGTATTTACCACGGTCACTACTGTGCTGAATCGCATTACAAAGTATGTCACAAAAGCAAAATGATTGTCACTATATTTGTAATGTTTGGCTTCACTTATACATATTGGCAGAAAGTGGTGACCCATCGTCCGTCTTCATGTACAGTCTATGATCTAATCACTGAAGCCCCCCCATCTCTACACATTAGCGTAGTAAGAAAAACAAAACTTAATAGAAAGTGTTTCTGCAAGCTGTAATGTAGATAAAATATCCCAGATTAGGAAGTAATCTATGGTGTACTGTATTTGAAGTAGATGATTGGTCAACAGAGTACAATTGATATTGGTTGTTCTATATAAAGAATAGAGTTGATTGCTAGGCCAAGAGAAATGGAGGGAAATGAAGGGAAAGCTAAACAAGCAAAATGTGTTGAAGTGTTTTTTTTCCATCCTAGGAGACTGTGAAGACCAGTCAGTTCACCCAGTTAAACCAAAAGGTCATCAGTACTCTGAGCTGGGGAAAGGACCTGATGAGGAGGATAGCCACACAAACAATAAGGATGGTAGGTGTGATGAAAGCACTAGGCCCAAGGTGGCTGAAAGCTCTCACGCTGCCTCTTCTGGCAGTGAGAAACCTCATCTGGGAGAGCAGCTTATGGCACCTGAGCCCAGCCAATCCCTCCTGCTGACCTCCAAGGATTCTACCCAGAAGAGCTCAGCCAGCACCAGGAGGGCCCTGTTTGCACGCAGACGCCTCGACGCTTCAACATTAGTATCCTTCAGAGAATCCCATTCTCATAGCCCTCAGTCCCAGACTCCACGAAGGGAGCCGTCTCCACCTCGTAGCCTGTCGCCCAGGCCTCCCCAGTCCCCAGCTCCTTCATCCTGCTTCTCCCCATCCACTTGTCATGTCTCCACCTCCCCACTGAGACCAGGCTCCCCAGTCAGAGGCCTTTCGCCTATAATAGTTCAGCCCCAGGAGTCGGGCTCCTCCAGACCCCCAGGCTGCCTGGCAGACACCTCTGCTCAGTGTCAAACCTGTCTTCACCCAGCAGAGCTTCCGTCTACAGCAAGACTGGTGAGTCACTGATGACCTAACATCTGTTCACAGCATTGAACCCCAGCTGCCCCCGTGAGCCACAGCTGCCCCCGGCTGTGGCTCAGGAGGTAGAGTGGGTCGTTTCCTAACCGGAGGATTAGCAGTTCGATTCCCGGCTTGTCCAGTCAAAATGTCGAAGTGTCCTTGAGCAAGACACTGAACCCCCAGTTGCTCCCAGTGATGTTACCGGTGTGTGAATGCTTGAGTGCTTGGGAGTGCGAATGGGTGAATGGCCAAGTAGTGTGAAAACGCTTTGAGTGTGCGTAGAAAGCATAGAAAGGCACTATACAAGTATAAGACCATTTACCATTATAATCAGTTGTCTACTACTATATTGTTGTTGTTTCAGCCTGAATTTGCCATCTATATAATTAACACATGCTAAAACACGACTCATCTGTTACTCCATCTATTTCTGTTAGTTTAGCCTACAGTTTTCAATCAATCGGGCTTTTGGCCCACCAAGCTAATCTTGTCTTGCTCAGTTAAATCCAAGTAAGTCGACATTCAGAACAAACAGTCACACATTTATTGGACAAAGAAGGAAAGGCAACTCTGTTTTACTATATCAGTCAAACCAAGCCTGCAGCTGCCTGCCTCAAAATAAATAGACACAACATGTTTTCCCCATGCAGCTGTTAATAAAATGAGAAGCTGGTCGATCTTTAACCACCAAAGATTGGAACCACATATTGACAACAAAAACAGCATGGGTGAAGATTACAGTAAACCTTAATAAAATAAAAATCCATAAATAAATGTGTCTACTCCAAGCTGGTGGTGTATGTATGTCATGGTATAGTGTAACCTCACACTAAGATAGATCTCATAGCAGCACAATCAAATTCATATTCTCGCCTGGCCTTTTTCACATCTGCACACAGACATTCCTGTTCATATGGCTTACATCTGTAAACCTGCTACTGTGTTTAGAAAACACCATCCTGGACTTCCTATATATCCTTTTTCATGTAGATTTTCAGATATATAATTACTAATTGTAGTAATTTGCTTATATTTCAATATTATTTTGCCCACTACTACTGCAATTTACACTAGAGCCTGACTGATAAATGAAAGAGGCCAACAACAATATTTTTGTATTATTGTATATATTTTCATTAGTAACAGTGTGTTGCTGTGCAGAAATGGCAAAAAGTAAGTAGTTATTTAAACTGTGGCCTTCGATTCCACACATTTTCAGAGGCCACAAGGCTACTGGACTGGGCACTAAGGCCAAGACAAGTGACGATACAGTATATCCTGTGTGTGTACAGTACAAAGATTATGTATACATCCTGAGCAGTAAAGGTACAAACTAGAATTTGTTGTTCACAACGTGCATGTTATGTTTAAGTGCAGATACTTGTAGAACTCTTGAAGGGAAATATGCAGAGACAGTGTAGTACAGTCAGGGAAAAAATTATTTGACCCCCAGCTGATTTTGTAAGTTTGCTCACTAACAAAGAAATGATCAGTCTACAATTTCAATGGTAGGTTTATGTGAACAGTGAGAGACACAACAATAACAAAAAAAATCCAGAAAAATGCATTACAAAAAAAGTTATAAAGTAATTTGCATTTTTATGAATGAAATAAGTATTTGATCCCTTTGCAAAACGTGCTTTAGTACTTGGTGGCAAAACCTTTGTTGGCAATCACAGAGGTCAGACGTTTCTTGTAGTTGGCCACAAGGTTTGCACACATCTCGGGGGATTTTGACCCACTCCTCTCTTTGCAGATCCTCTCCAAGTCATTAATGTTTCGTGGCTGATGTTTGGCAACT